TGGACCTTGGTGAGGCGGAGTGCCATTTGGCCTTAGCAGAGAGGAAAAAATTGATTTGTTTTTTTGCTTTTGGGCTTAAGGAAGCCTCATTGTTTGAAGGTGCTTGCAAGACCAAGTAAGGCTCTGGTAAGGTGTGGTGAAAAGGTTTTCTTTATGTTCTAGCTGTCGGGTCAACTGGATAGTGAGGCAGAGTCAGGTAGTGCATGTTCCTCCAATCTGAGAATAAAAGAGGAAATGCCTGTTGCCAGACGCAAGACCCGAATAGAGGCTGCAAGTCTCATATCAGTGGAGGACACATCTGAAAAAGCAATGGCATCCCTGAGTGTAGAGACCTTGCGTCTCCAGCTGCAACTTAAGCAGGCAGAGCTGGAAAGGTACAAAATACTGAGGGAAGAGAGAAGAGAGATGGCAGCCCAGAGAGAACTAGAGAGAATGAGGATGGCGCATGAGCTGGAAATGGCAAAGTTGAGAAAAGAGCCACCTTCACTTCCTCCAGATGCTGATGTACAAGGGGATAGAAGGAAGTATCCTCTGTATAAGGAAGACTGGAGTGGATCGTGGAAGGTAGCTGTGCACAATTATACCCCAGTAGCCATGTTTGTGGGGGAAGATTTAGCAGAGCAGATGACTGTGGAACCCAGAGTCCATGAACCTGAGATGGAAGAAAAGGAGGCCAATCCAGAGGAAGATGTCTACCTGCAGTTCTTACAGGACTTTGAACATGTTCCTGAGCAACCCAGCTGGCAAATCGATGTCTACCAGCAGTTCTTAAATGACTTTAAATATGTTCCTGAGGAACCCAGCCGGAAAACCGATGTCTACATAGGGGTGGTAACCCGTCGGTCTGAGAAGCAGCAGCAAGGGGAGCACACTCTGGCAACTTCTCCAGACCCTGTTGCAGAGCTGATGGTGGTAGAGTCTCCTCCAGTGACTCTGACTGCATTCCAGAAGGATCAAGCAGAGGATGCCAGCATGGAAGAAGTCCGTATCAACTTTGATTCCATGATCCCATCTAGTTTGGATAACTTTCCAGGCAACTATGCTGCTCAAACCAGTGAACAACAGCATCAGCAACTAGAACCTAAGACTACTGGGGAAACTGAAGAGATGGCATTTCCACAGCCCTTGGAAAGTAGGTCCACAGCTGGAGCTGAAAAGCCAAGAGTTGTGAAGCCACCTGAAGAGAACGTGGAGAACAGTAGGCTGGCTTCAGTAAATGACCATCAGAGTGGAGGAAAAGATGTAGCCACATTGATATCTCAAAACGAAGCTTGCCCTCATGTCCTAATTGAGCTTTTTCATGAACTTCAGGGGCTAAATTCAGTCTATTTGAGACAAAGAGCACTGTATAGGTTACAGGACATAGTAACCAGGCATCCATCTGAAGCCAACACAAAAGCAGAATGTCTAAAACCTCTGAACTTAAAGGCGGGGTTCAGATCCAATTTAGAACTTCCTCCCAGCAAAAGCCTTGCTACTACTGATGATGAGACATTCGAGAAGAGTTTTGACCCCGGAGGACCTGCAATGCATTAACCTGACGTTGTGTTCTCTTTAATGTTGATCAGAGTACTGTTTTACTGTTATTGTTTTTATATGTTAGTGTTGAGTGAGTTGAAAGGGCAAACCACAGCCCAAATCTTGTGTGCAGACTGCATCAATGGGGATCCAGGGAAGGACCCCATGATTTGGTCTGGTGGGGGGGTGTCATGATCTGGGCTGTGCTACCAGAGGCCTACTAGGCCCAGAGAGCCTGGCTAGTAGTAGGTGAGGCTGGGCCTACAACTCCCAGAAGCCCCTGGGAGGTTTTGGAGCCAAAATGGACCAATAGGAAAAGAGGGGGGCTGGGAATAAAAGTTCTGGAGCAGCAGGAAGAGCTGTTCTTTCTTCCAGAGGGCAGAGCCAGAAGAAAGGCTGCTGCAGGGGAAAAACTCTCATCCTGGGGGAGGGATGAGTAGTGTAAGGCCACTTGAGATAGTGAGCTAGGGAAAGTATATATTTAGACGCGTTAGGGCATTTGATTTCTTTTCACCCACTTACTGTTATTATTCTGCACCTTGTTGTTTGACCTCCTATAAGATAAACTTTTTCCTTGTTTTACTCTGCCTGGTCCTCACGCCTGTTATTCGGCCTAAAGGGAGGTCTGAAGGTCTTGGGAGGGTACTCTGGGCCTTCTCAAGGGAACCTAAATCCAGAGTGGTGGCAGCGTCAGGTGACACCCCACCTGAGTCATGACAGGTGTACAAAACATCTTGCGCCTATCGAGCAAAGGGTGGTTTGTTAGGTGCTGTGGAGGGGTGTGGGTCACGGTCAGTGGCAAAATATCTCCGGTACCTGACATGACGTTTTCTGGCACACATGGCCCGGCCTGACAAAGTGACATTTATGTCAGATAACAAATGAGTTCAACACCTCTGCTCTAACCACTATGCCATGCCGGCTGTCTGAATATATTTGAGTGATCTCATCACTGCCTTCTGGTATCCAGCACCACGGATCCAGCAGAAGTCCTGTGTTGTTGTAATGACCCTCGGGATCATGTGCCACTACTAGTAGTGAGGGTCAGGGGGGCTTTCCTGCAGGGTTTTATTTGCCTGCTGGTATACAGATGGGGCGATTTCTCACTAGAGCTGCCTCGCAGCACAGCGCGGTTTGCCCCAACACAAACATGTCAATTTCACAACCGCGGCTGCGGGGGTGCATTTGACTCCGGGGTTTGCCAGATGTACTCCTCACACTCACGCAGTTTCATGATCCTCAAAAACCAGGATCACGAAACTGCGGAGGAAATCGGGCGAAGTCCTGAGTCAAAATGCAGCCCCAGAGCTTCGGGTGTGAAATTGACATGTTTGTGTCGGGGCAAACGGTGCTGTGCTGCGAGGCAGCTCTAGTGAGAAGTCGCCGATGGTCTCTTTGTTAGCCGGTTTGAGAGGAGAACTTGCAGATCACCAAGTGGTGTGTCTCCTGTAAACTGTGCCTGGTGAAAGAGCAGGAGGAACTGCGGAATTTCCCCCCTTCGTGCACTAACACATTACTGGCAGCTAGCATTGGATATCTGTCATAGGACGCCTTTCTGTTTGCTTTAGCCCTATAAATAGGAATCAAGCCTATGGATGGATGGATTTTTTTTTTTAAATTACATTTTCTTAACAAAAATGTCTGCATGAGGCTGCTAAGCCTGTCTCTCCAAGTAGCAGCTTCTGGGGACAGTTTACCCCAAGGAAATGGTGCTGGTTGGAACAGTGAAATGCCGCTCTCTGCACCGCTTTTCCCAATCAAAACCAGCAGCTCCATACAGATGCTTTGGTTTTAAAAAAGGAAGAAGAAGATGATGGTTGTGGGTGAAGAAGTGCTTGTAGACTAACGAGGTCACAGCAGCGCTTTAGCTAAATGTCCTGTCACTTGGGTTAGGCGTTTCAGTGCCCCGAATGCTTCCGGTGTCCTAGCAGGAATCCTCATGGGGGGGGGGCGGGTGCTGCAGGGAGAGCGGGCCGGCTCGCCTGAGGCTTCCTCCGAGTCTGTGGCCGAGAGGATCGTTGACCCGGCTCGCCGCTCTCCCTGTCAGCCCCAGTGCTGCCCCACCTTCCTGTGAAACTCACACACAGCAGCCGTTTGGGAGCAGACAAGCCCCGGAAGCCGTCTGGAAATGTGGGCTGTCTCTGAGGTTTTCTTTTCTTCCATTCTCGTCAGTCATCTGTCTTTCCACAATACAGAAATAAACTGGAACCTTCTGCTTTGTCATTTTATTTTAAATAGACTGCAAACTTCCGCATTTTTTTTACACCCAGCTGCTAACACCTTTGCTGCTATGACGTGCAAGTTATTTCCCTAAACCATTTTGGTGCAGTGTGGGGAAAATTCACTGTAACCGGCCAAGGTGAGATTTGCTCACCTGCGGCTGTCTGTCTGGAAGCAGGGTTTGGTTTTCTGCAGGAATTGCTGGTCCACTCCGCCAGGCTAAGGCATGCTTGGAGACGAGGACCCGTTGCCCTGGCAGACAGGAGACTTACTGAGTCTGGCCTAGAGCCTCTCCCACATCTTTGTGCTCCCACTTCCTTTGAGGACTGCAGGGCGGCATACAGCTTTCCCTCAAAGACTCCTTTGGGGCTCAGTGGGGCTGAAAGGGAGGGGCTGGCTCACAGCTGCCCAGGGAGCTTCCGAGTCTGAGTGGAGATTTGAACCCAGACCCTTCTTGTTTATCCCTTGTGGAGAGAGCACACGCGGGGGGGGCGTGTTCACTGATGCTGTTCTGTGTTGGCTGGACGCTTCCCAATGCAAGTGCGTTGCCGTTTCAGGGCCATGGCTTCAGAAGAGATGTCCTGGCCGGTCCCCATGAAGGCGATCGGAGCACAGAACCTGATGACGATGCCCGGAGGTGTCACCAAGTCCGGATACCTCCACAAGAAGGGAGGGACGCAGTTCCAGCTCCTGAAGTGTGAGTGGGGAAGGAGTGCCGGCTTCAGGCCAGGCTCAAGTGCTCTTCCATTCTGAGCTGCGACAAAATGTCCGTTTAGATTTCCACCTTTTGTTTGGTCAGAGGGAATCAAAATTTGATTGGCATGTCTTTCTTTTCAAGCTTTTCTGCCTTAACAGTTTTTAGTGCAGCAAAGGTGCCATGTTGATTGCTTCTGTTGCAGCTCTGTTGGAATTCCTGAATGTTGGCTAGGCTGCATTTCTACCTGGGAAAACAGTAATCCATTACCATTGTGGGTGTGTGCAAAACGTGGCTGTGTCTCCATCCACTGGAGTCTGGTCCCTTGTAACACTGGCTCCCTGCAGGCTACAGTTCGAGAATCAGAAGACGTGCTCCCACCTACACCTCTCCTGCTCCCCTAATCTCTGCCAGTCAGGGATTTTCCCATAAGCAAGGTTTGCAAACCCTGGATTCAGGCTCCATGGTCAACATAGGAACCATGGTTAAGGGTGGTTCAGAATGCAGCAGTAAACCCTGGCTAAGGCTGACAAGCCGAGAAAGAACAGGAGGGGCCCTGCATCGCTGAGGCTCGTTTCCAGTTTACAAACCATTGCCAGGGAACCAGGGCTACAACTGCAGTGGGCCTGCATAAACTGGTACAGATGCAGGATGGGAAAGGAAAAGGGTGGTATCACTTATTGTTACAACAGACATCTGGTGGCCTAGAGTTCTTGCCATCAGCCACCGAGTGCAAGAGAACTGTCTGGTGCCTACGTGTGTTAAGTGGCCACCTCTGGCCTCCTTGTTCCTCTTCCCCTCCCCTTGGTCTTGCTCCAGGGCCACTGAGGTTTGTGATTGTCCACAAGGGCTGCATTTACTACTTTAAGAGCAGCACATCTGCATCTCCCCAAGGTGCCTTCTCACTGAAGGGCTATAATAGGTGAGTGGTGTGTAATATGCGACAACTATATTCACTTTGCGGTGGGATAATTTCAATCTGCTTCTTTTTAAACGTATCGATGTATGTCATTCAGCATCTTTACACGGTAACTTAGTGAGGAGTTAGATTATTTGGGAATTGTTTGGTGAAGCAGCTTGGCTTCCATCTTTATCAGTAACAGAAAGCTATTATGCATTCAGATACATATACAACTTTTTTCCTGAATACACTTGCTCTGTAGGTCTTCCGGCCCACCTCTAGCTGAGAAAGTCACATGCCTTCCCTGATGAGAAAGAATGATGATGATGAATTGTCACACTCAGATGTCTGACTGGTAGATGGTGCTCTGCAATTCGAGATCTAGCCAAGTTCTTGGGAATTGCAGATGTGTCTTCGCGGGGTTCTTGCTCTTACAAGCAACGCTGTCCTCTGGAGCTGAGCTGGTGCTGTTTGCTCAGTACCCAGAATGCCCAGGTGTTTCTTGAGACTTCAAGGCACTGCTCCAAGGGCTCCAGTGACAACAGTTAGGGTTACCTCCTTTTCCCAAAGGCCTCTCGCTCTATTTGTAGGTCTTGGCATTTTGTTATCGTCTCCCATTCTCCCCCCCCCCCCCCATTCTGCTGTCTCTTGGGATTGCAGTGTCTATTATACAAACCCTATTTCTCATTTTTTTCCCCTACTATTGTGATATCAGGGGTGTTAAGTCACTGTATAGTAAATACTATATTTGGTTCTTTCATATGGCTTGCGCTCCACAGCTTGCCTATGGTTGGAACTCTGTTCCATTATAGAGTCACTTAACACAAATATCCATAGATTACTGTGGATTAATATTGTGGGAAGATGTTAAAACACTGATCACCATTTTACTATAATAAATATAAGTAGTGTATAATAATTGTCCAGGGCATCTTGTGTCCACAGCTAACTAGCTGTAAGAATAATTATAAAGTAAGAGCAGTTTTTGGAGTGGCTCACTTTTTAAAACTTTTGTTGTTGTTGCTAAGAGCAAATGGATGTTTGAGTCAATTGCAGAATACCATGTGTATGATTAAGAATTAATCTACACATATAAGGATGTATACCCAGAGAGTTTTGGCCAGAAATAAAATGGATATGATCCAACATTGGCGTCTCTTATGTTCTTATGTTCTTATGATACCTGGCAGCCACATATTTACCGCTTGCAATAATAGGATGCTAGTAATATATTCCTTTTTACTGGGAGTTGCACATGCTGATCTAAGACCAAGCAAGTATAGGTTTTATAGATTTGTCCAATTGTGCTTTATCCTAAAAGGGCTTTGGGACAATGGGCTTGGCACTGATAGGTTAGTTATGTGTGCTGAACATCCAACACAGATTCTGAAGACTAGATGACCTGCAGTCCCTTTCATTTTCGTGAGAGCATTCTTCATCAGTTCAGGCCTTCAGTGTTGGGCAACACTTTGTATCTTCTTCTGCCTTCAGGGGTGTCTGAATGCTTTTTACATTGTTATAACTAAAGAGGCACAAGGAAATTAATGTCTTTAGAATCATGAACAGTGTTTCTCATTCTTGCAGTTCCCTGCATAATTCCTTTTATTTATAGTGTTCAATTTTACATCATAAAAGCCCATGTAGCACTCAGTGTCATGAATGAGCCTGAAACGAGGAAGAATTCGATCCCAAATGTTAGCATGCATGCTTAATCATGAAGAATCCGGCAGATCCCAGTCACGGAGTATACTGCTTTGTGGAACAGATGACGTGGTTGTATTCCTTGGGTATAAATTGAATAATTGAATTGAATAAATTGAATAATTGAATAAATTGAATAAAATAAATAAATAAATAGATACCCTGTTGAGCACCGTCTATTCTGATAGCAGTTCTCCAGGGTCTCTGGCAGAGGAACGGTCTTTTCCCACCACCTGCTGCCTGAGAGCCTTCTGTGCCCAGGGGAGGTGTTCTTCAACGGAGCTGCAGCCCTTCCCTAAATCCCACAGATTTAGCAGGTGATGCGCAACTTATATGAGTTCTCTGAGGATGGAAAGAACTGTTCCTTTCTCTTGGTAAAGATTCCACGACAAAGCATTGCAGACTCAGCAGCATGGATCTTATTGAAAGGGAAGCCAGTAATTGTGACTATATGCTGTGCCATGTGTATAATAAGCATAATTTGAGGGTTTTTTTAAAAAAAAGTATTGCTTTCACTGTTATACAGGGTTATGAGAGCAGCGGAGGAAACAACGTCGAGCAATGTATTTCCTTTCAAATTGGTCCACATTAGCAAGAAGTACAGGACCTGGTTTTTTTCTGCTGCCTCTGAAGACGAAAGGAAGGTGAAATCATGTTTATGGTTCCCACGATATGTTTTAAATTACCTGGCACCTTAAAGGAAATTGTTCTACCTTCTCAACTCAAAGTACAGTCCAGGTTGCTGATGAAAATTTCTCATCCACAATTTTTGGTCCCAGAGATTTATAATACAATCCCACAGTCAAGGGTTTTTCATGTGAAGGGACTTCTCTGTGTCCTGAACACACATTTGCTTTGTAGAGATTCCCTTATTTTTATTTATTTGTTTATTTGATTTATATACCGCCTTCCCTGTAACCGGGCTCAGGGTGGTTTACATCAATTACCCCGGTGCTATTTAACATCTATATGCGCCCCCTTGTCCAGAGAGCTCGGAGGCATGGGCTGAGGTGTCACCAGTACGCTGATGGCACCCAGCTCTATCTGATGTTGGGCAGCCAGTCGGACTCCAGACCGGAAGATCTGGACCAGGCATTACAGGCCGTGGCTGGTTGGCTCAGGCTGAGCCGGCTGAAGTTGAATCCGGCGAAGACGGAGGTCCTGTGCATGGATCGGGGCAGTTTGGGTGTGGGGGCCCCACTCCTGACCTTCCGTGGGGCACCATTGGTGCCAGCACCGGAGGTTGGGAGTCTGGGAGTTCTCGTGGATACCTCCTTAACAGTGGAGGCCCAGGTAGCAGCCACTGCTAAGTCGGCCTTTTACCATCTTCGGCTGATTAGGCAGCTAGTTCCCTTCCTCGACCGGAACGACTTGGCCACAGTGATCCACGTGATGGTCACCTCAAGACTAGACTACTGTAATGCTCTCTACATGGGGCTGCCCTTGTTGCAAATTCAGAAGCTGCAGCTAGTGCAGAATGCCGTGGCCAGGCTTGTGAAGGGCCTTCTCAGATCCAGCCTGTGCTGACGGCATTGCACTGGCTGCCAGTAGCATACTGAATTTGCTTCAAGGTGCTGGTGCTTACCTTTAAAGCCCTACATGGCCAGGGTCCAACATACCTGAGGGACTGCCTTTCCCCATATATACCCCAGAGAGCACTGTGGTTGGGGTCAAGGAATCGACTGACCCTCCTGGGCCCCAAGGATGCCAGGCTTGTCGCCACCAGGGCCAAGGCCTTCTCAGTGGTGGCTCCTTACTGGTGGAATGAGCTCCTGGAAGAGATCAGGGCCATGTGGGATCTTCTACAGTTCTGCAGGGCCTGCAAGACGGAGCTCTTCTGCCAGGCTTTCAACTAGGAGCCGCCCTGACTATTACCATCAACAAGCCCGGCCCTCAGCCTTAACATCTAGCTTATACCATCGTATGACTTAAGAGGACCACTGAGCTGGACTGTCTGCTTGCAAACATTTTTAGTATGACGCCTTAAGTAACTAATGAAGGACTACTAGCACTTTGTGATTTTATGATTCATCTGAATTGTTTTAACTTGATTTTATGTTTTCTATTGGTATTTCTGTACCAACTGTGTAAGCCGCCCTGAACCCCCATTAAAACAACGTTAAAACAATAGTTTACACAGAATAAGATCATAAAATGCCATGTAAAAACGAATAGATCAGATGTCAGCTCAAATCCAAGTGTCAAATCAAGGGAGGGGGATGTCCGCCGCCTCAACCAAATGCCCAGTGGAGCTCCATCTTGCAGGCCCTGCAGAACTGCAAAAAGTCTCGCAGGGCCCTGATCTCGTACGGGAGCTCATTCCACCAGGTGGGGGCCAGGGCCGAAAAAGCCCTGGCCCTGATCGAGGCCAATCGGACACCCCTGGGGCCGGGGACCACTAAGAAATGTTGATTGGTGGACCTCAGTGCCCTACGGGGCTCATAGGGGGAGAGGCGGTCTCAAAGGTATGCTGGCCCCTGGCCTTGTAGGGCTTGGAAGGTAAGCAGAATGCCTGAGATTGTAGTAAATCCGATTGCTTTATTGTGCCCTTCCTTTGAGGTGCTCTCAGGGCAGTGTACGTGGCTGTCCTCTCCCCCGTTTTGTCTTCCTAACAGGTCCTGTGCCTGAGTCGGAGTGGATCGGGGGTAGGGATCCCGCTACTGGCCTTCGATGGGGCACCGCGCCGAGGGTTAGGAGTCTGGGAGTGCTCCTGGATGCCTCCTTAACGATGGAGGCCCACTGCCACTGCCAAGGCAGCCTTTTACCATATTTGGTTGTTCAGGCAGCTGGTTCCTTTCCTTGAACGCAATGATCTGGCAACAGTGATCCATGCAACGGTCACCTCGAGATTAGACTACTGCAATGCTCTCTACATGGGGCTGCCCTTGTCACAACTCCGGAAGCTGCAGCTGGTGCAGAATGTGGTGGCCAGGCTGTTGATGGGTCTGCCTGTGTGCTAACGGCATTACGCTGGCTGCCAATAGCATACCGTATTCGCTTCAAGGTGCTGGTTTTGACCTTTAAAGCCCTTTGTGGTCAGGGACCTGCCTACCTGAGGGACCACCTGTCCCCACATGCTCCCCAGAGAGCACTGAGGTCAGTTTGGCCTCCCTGGACCGAAAGTGGCCAGACTGGCCTCTACCAGGGGTAGGGCCTTTTCAGTGGTGGCGCCACACTGGTGGAATGAGCTCCTGGAAGGGCCTGTAAAACGGAGCTGTTCCACCAGGCCTTTGATTAGGAGCTGCCACATCAACAATACTAACTGAATTGTTAAGGCCCTTTATGCTAACACCAACATCTGGCTATGCTGGATACTGACGGGGGCCATTTTCTGGAACATCCTTTACTCTGTTTTGCACTATGATCTGGTATGTTGTGTACTTTACGAGGTTGTGGTGTATAAGCGCTTGTGTTTTAATATATTTTTAACCTTTTAATGTAAGCTGCCCTGAGCCTGCCTTGACAGAGAGGGCGGAATAAAAACCAAATAAATAAATAAATAAATAGAATACTGACTGTAATACAAGGAATAGTGGAATGTTTGGCTGACATATACACGACACCCACCTCAAACAAAGAAAAAAAAAATGCTGTTAAGTGACCTCCATGCCCAGAGGAGTGAATGGAGAGTCTCAATCTTATTTTGAGATGTATTGCTTTTCAACTGTTGACCTTAGCTTGTTAACTTAGTTTTCTCTTCGCATATGTTAAAACATCTTCATCATGTTACATGTTAACTTGCTGTTCAGGCCGATCTGTAAGTTTGAACCTTGACTGCCATTCTGTTGTATGCGTGCGTGCACACGAAAGCTGATACCTTGAATAAACCTTTGTTGGTCTTAAAGGTGCCTCCACTGGACTCTAAATTT